TTAAACTAAGACTTGTACCTTTTTTTTTTTTTATAAATAAGGAATTAAACTAAACTAACTAAAATAGTTGCTGAATGAAAACTACAATGCTTTGAGCTATGTTCCTGCRGGTGACAAAAGAATCAACAAGTACCCGAGTCTGTGATCCTGAGTTGACAGAAGGCTGCCTAAAGGTGGCGTACTCAGGGAAGTTGTTGAGGCTAAAACTTTCTTCTACGGCGGCACAGAGCTTTATCAAGTGTTTCCCAAGCCACAGACCCACATCCTGTCGTCCATCTGAATACGTAAGCACACCAGGCCCGAGCCTCTGGTCCATGTGGTATAAACCCTGAACACATAGAGTTATAAACTATTTACCATGTACACAAAATTACTATGGATGCTCTAAATGCATCAACTTTACCTGAAAGGTGGTTCCATCTGGGAAGATGAGGTCACCGTATCCTTCCCTTCTGTTGAGGTAGAACTTGCCAGTGAACTTGTGGCCCGTGGGCCAGCAGTAAAGACCACCCCCATGCTTGAAGTCTTTGTAGAAAAAACCCTCATAATACTAAACAAATAAAATCAGTGAAGAAAATCAGTCAAACTGTTGGGTGAATTCTACGGGAGAGCATTGCWTTCACCAAATAAAAATAAAAAAATTAGACCCCTGATCTCATAATTATGAGATCAGGGGTCAATTTATTTATTTATTTTTTGTGTGAATGCAATGCTCTTCCATACAACACCATCCACATTAAGTAAACTCAATATTTCCCAATATTTCATACCTAAGAGGGAATAAAAGCACACATGCAGTCACTGTTCACGTTTCCTGTAATGTAGATCTGCTGACTCTCTTTAACTTATCTCGTAATTATGACATCTTTTCTCGTAATTATGAGATCAGGATCTTGTAATTCCAAGATCAGGATCTCACAATTATGAGAAAATATCTCGTAATTATGAGATCAGTAGTCTAATTCATTTTTTATTTTAATTAATTAATTAATTTATGTGAATGCAGATAATTACATCAGCTGTTTTTGCACCCCGYAGTTTATTTTTTGRGTAATTTTTGGCTAAATATAGAGTTTAGGCAAAGTATGGGGTTATTTTGAGTTTTGCCAAGAAAAACCATGAAACTTAAATTTAACATAACGTAGCTTTTACTTAGTACTGGCTCTTTTTTTTTTTTAACTGAATCAAGTAGGTAAAATTGGCCATACACCCAGTGTTGTATAAAGTACCACAAAGTGATGCTTGAGTAAAAGTACAAGTAACTTACCAAAAAATTACTTTGGTAAAAGTTACAGTCTCCTTTTAGAATATTATTCGAGTAAAAGTCTTAAAGGATCTGATATTTGTCGTACTTAAGTATTAAAAGTAAAAGTATTGATTTAAAATGAGCAGTTAGATTTTCTGTAATGACATTTATTAGGTGACCTCCACAAAACAGTGCAGAAATGACTATTTTGTATTAAAATAATTAATTTATGTTAAAATTAGGATGCACTTGTCTAGTTGTTTCAGTTTATGTACATATATCAAGGCTGCACAAAGCTTTTCTCAAAATGAAAATCCATCTGAGGGCTGCGGCCAAATGCAATAATATAATTCATGAAATACAAATACTTATTAAGTACAGTCCTTTTATTATAATGATTATGTACTACTGGAGTGTGTCATGATTTGTTTGTGTACAAACTATTAGAGTATGAGACTTTTATATGTTTATACTTCTCATTCAACCACAATTAAATTCACTCCAACTAGGAGGGACAATTTATATGGATAGTATTTATTTTTTACAATAACAAGCAGGGAAAAAACAAACAAAAATGAACTAGAAGCAATGACTTTCTACTTTTTGCATTTTTTTTAAATGTAAGGAGTACAAAGTACAGATAATTGTGTGAAAATGTAAGAAGTAGAAGTAAAAATGAAAAATAATTACTCAAGTAAAGTACAGATACACAAAAATTCTACTTAAGTGCAGTAATAAAGCATTTGCACTTAGTTACTTTACAACTCTGCACACACCTAAACAACAATCATCAAGTTATAAAACCTTAATGTTTTGGTATTATTACAAACACGCACTGAGACTGACTGAGAAACAGGTGCAGTCATTGATTTCACGTGATTTGAGCTGATTCAGCTGATGCAAAAATATTAATTAAAAATATCAGACCCATAATAATGTTATGTTACCTCTCCATTTTTCAAGGTGTACTTTCCTTTTCCGTGTTTGAGGCCGTCTAAAAATCCGCCCTCATATCTGGACCCGTCGGCCCAGTTCTGAACACCGGGGCCGCTGCTTGGTCCGGTCATTCCCGAGCCCGCAGCACCCGCAGCACCCGCAGCACCCGCAGCACCCGCACAGCTTGTCGATTCCATTTCGGGTGTTTCCCCCCCTCTAAATATGTTTCACTTAAACCCATCTGAGTTAACCAACACGTATGAAGTTCAAGTTTCAATGAAGCTAACGAGGCTACGTAGTTAGCTTCAGTGTAAACTTTATCAGATTTGAGTCTGTTAGGCAGTTATCATGACAACAGGTGACCTTTGTGCGCATGCGCAGTTAAAAGTTCAGTTTTAACAGCAAAAAAAAAGTCCTTCCACATTGTATACAGAAGTGGTTCAAAATTAAAGAAACAAACTATGAATTAAGAAAGATTTATTTTTAAAAAATCAAAGGTTAGGACAAATATTAAAAATAATTGTACCTCTGTTAGAGGGATTTGTGCTTGGAATAACTGTTGTGAAGAGTTGAAACTGTGTTTTTCACTGACTAAATTTAAAATAATGTATTAAAACTGTTACAAAAATATAACAAGTTGTGATTGTTTGCTGCTGCTAGAGTTTTGTTACTAATTTGGTTAGAATTGGTTAGAGTCTCATTTATAAAATCTACAGGAAAGATGTTGATTTGATTTTGATAATGTATGAATAAAGTGAAGGCATAAAAAGCTTAGAGTTCTACCTACACTTTTTTTCAGTCCATACCTTGTCTTTTTGATATTGACAGGAATTTAAAGATTATGTATTATTTTCTGTAGTTTTGTTTTCTGCTGTTTTGTAAATGGAAAATTTAAAAAAGACCAAAATAAAATATTTTGCTAACTGCAAAAATAATATATATATA